CACTCCCTCCCCAGCTGCTGCCATGTTTTGTGCAGAGGGCTGGGTGGAAGGGGGCCACCAGGAAGGGTGGGGGTGTCTCTGGGACATCTATTTGTCTTCAAAGAGCCCTGGGACTTGCTGGTCTTCTCCTGAAGTGGGACATTGTGTTGGGAAGGGGTCTGGGAAGCCTGGCCCACTGCAGGGCCTGGACAGGGTGTTGGGGCATGAGCAGCCTCAAAATTTGGAGGCAGAGCGGTGAGAGGGTCTCCCAATCTTAGTGTCTAAAACATTTCAGTCTCTCAATTGCTGTTGTATTTCTGAAATATCAACTGCTGTCAGAGGGAAGACCCTGGTTTCACAGGGGAGGGGGTCCCGGCAGCATGGACTGACAGTGTTTCACCGTTGTGGACTCACACTCCGTGTGCCGGCCAGCCCACCATGTTTGCTGCTGCCACACCACCCGGGCCAGGCACTGCCACTTCTGCAGTCCCAGCCTGATCCTGCTGTGGGTTTTGAGGTGTAAATACCTCTCCCGAGGCCTGGTGCATACCCAGAAGCCGTGGATGGTAGAGTGAAGAACTGCCTTGTGTTTCTAGGAAAGGTAAGAAAGATTGCAAGTGCTTTCAGAGAGATCATGAATACTCCAACGGTTTCATATCCCTGTGACCACTGATAGATTAAAGAAGACTAATAAGACAAACAGAGCTTCCCCTGCGTCACCAACCTGGGGGCCTGGTGTTACATACCTGCCACCCGAGGCCAGTGTGTTTCCAGGTGCCTTTTCCACAAGCAGGTTTTACTTGATCCTCAGTGCTTACAAGGCAAGGGTCCCTGGAAAATCGTCTGGTCTATTCCAGTACCCAAGTTTGGCTCAAGTTTACTTATATCCCAACAAATTTATCCACCTTATTCTTAAAGATTCCCACCAGTGGAGGCTGTGTTACTTATCTGTGCAATCTACTCCAGTTTTTGCTAGCATCCTGTCTTTCTTGCTGCTGGTTAAGCCTATTATTTCCAATCCTGTGCATTATGGCAAGGAGAACAGTTCCCTGCCATGTGTAGTACATGAGCCTCGCTTTCTGTGCCCTCTCTATGCATTTCATTTTGAACTTCATGCATGCTTATTGAGTATCCTTCAGAGTTAAGATTATTATCCTCTGAACAAGTGAGGTCTTTGCATTATCTATTTCAGATATTCAACTCCTAACACAACGTTAGGGAAACTTGCTGTTGAAGAAATTACTTTTATCTATTTTGCTCTAAGTAATTGAGTCACCTTGAGATGTTTTCATTGTGCTATGTTTTCTAAGCCAGTAAAATTCTGTGCATAAATCAAAGGAAAACATTTTCCTTCAAATTCTCATTTTGTATCTCGTGTCTCTAGAGCTAATCAGGTATCATTAAGAAATTACATGATGTTTGAATTTCAGAATCCCCTTGTGCAAATCTCTGGGTATCTTCTCTGCATCATTAAAACACATACAGGGACTTTCTGTTTGAAAGGTGATGAAGATCAAAACAATACTTGCTATATCCTCAGAGGATTTGCTGTCGTCAGACCAGCAGGTCAGCTACTAAAGCAAGGCATTTTCTTGCTCCTGTGTGGAGGTTGTGCTGTGGTATTCAGCAGAGCACAACTCTGCAGTCCAGTGAAACAAATTTTTCCTGCTAAGAGAATACCATGGCCTCAGCCCCAAGCCCAATACTGCTTCTGCGGTTTGGCAGTTGTGCTTTCAGTGTAAAACACCATAAGCAGTCGCTGGACATCCCCCC